GGGCTGCAGGCCTGCAGGATCCAGAAGATGCTGGAAGGAAGAATGGAGTAGAGGAGAGAGGAGCTGGGGCTGGAGGCAGAGCGCCAGAAAGCTGTGCTGGGACTTCAGCAGGTGCTCTTTGTCTGTAAAGCTGCTGGATGCACCCAGAGTTTGAAATGTCCCAAATCCCTGGTTGCTTTTGGAAGTGTTGGTGGTAATTTTTAACTGGGGGTGTCATCGCTGTGCCCGTTGCTTGCACGGCATTAGCAGGTTTGGATGTATTTTCTGTCAGGCCCCCTAGAACTGGGCTGGCAGGGATTGGGCTTCAGGTTTGGAAATCAGGATTGATTTCTGATCCCAACAAGGGTCCTGTGTGATGCCCCAGGAGCAGCAGAGCTGGGGTTGGAGCTCTGATTACCGAGTGTGACCTAATGGATAAAGCAGAGCACTTAATTCACGTGGTGCTGTGTGCTGACTTCCCTCTGAAGTGTTGTGGCTGTTGGTTCTGAGCTCCATTTACGTGGTTTGTTTTTTTTTAGACAAACAGCCCAAAGATCAGACATCCCACTTGAAGCAGCAGCAGCTGTCTTCAGCTTCGCCCTTCAGGTGAGACTCTCTGTGAGTTAAACTGGGGTTTTGGTAGGAATTTGTGTGTTCTCTGGCTGCATGAGATACATTCCCGTTTTCCAGGTGAAAGAGGCACCATTCCCTTCAACTTGTAGTTTGATACATGAAAAAAAAAACAAACTATGTAACCTCTTTTTTTTTCTTCTTGTTTTTTCCCCCCCGTACAGGATAATTGTTCTGGATGAGAGTTCTCTATGTGATTAAAATGGATAATGAATAAGTTCTAACCTGTCATCTGCTTACTGCTGTCTGTACAGCCCGTGAATTGGAGGCTTTTTTGGCCACATAAACAGTTGTAAAGCTCAAGACTCCTTTTAGCTGCAGCAGCAAGTACAGAAGAAAATCTGATGTTCTGCGTTATAATACTATTTGTACTGGTTTTATGCCATCACTGCATGCACAGGCAGTATCAATATTGCAGAACTGAACTGTTTTCTCAATATCACATCCCCGTGAACCTGCTACGTGGTGGTTTTTCTCCTGCACGTGCCCATTTTCATAAGCACAATAATTTCCTGCTCTGTTGCATTATGCAGTTTTCGGTGTTGCAAACAACATGATTGTAATTCTGTGGGCTGCTGGTACTGCTCAGACGCTGGAATTTTTTCCATGCTGGGAGCGTGGAGCACTGTTACAGCCCATGTAGTGTGTGTTTTTCCTTGCTCATTAAATTTAACAAGGTAATTTCTTGTTTTCTCTTTACTTAGTGCTTTTGTGATCTAGTGTTGAACTGATTTGACTGATTAAGGGGATTAATTGCTGTGCAAAAAGCTAATGAGGAAAAAAGCAGTGTTTTCCAGAGATTGCAAGCGCAGCAATATGTTCCCTGCCAGCATTAGACAAGAACATGAGAAAATGTGGTTAGTGTTGGGAAGGTACCTGTTGTTTAATTCAACCACGTTTTTGGTAGGGTGGATTAAAAAAAAAAAAATGGATCTAATTGAGCTTTGGATTAAGATCTTGATGAGCACAGCAACTTCATATTTGATAAATATCACTTCATATGTGATAAATACTGTTGACATGCAGGAGGGAGGATTGTCCTTTTCCCTGTCCAACAGACAGAGGGATTTTGGCTGGTTTTGTACATCTGGGTGTGCCACGTTTGCCCCTTCACTCCTGTTTCTGTAAAGAAATGCTCTCCATCTGTAACTGTTTGTTAATTTGGTTTAACAGCACTAATAAAAGTTTCCAAGTTATTGTGCTGCCGTGTCGTTCTTTTTTTTTTTATGGTTTGTTTTGGAGGGGATATTTTTGGGTCTGTTTTGTTGTTTTTTTTTGTTTTTACTTGTTATTAATGATGTTTCCCATCATCAGACCATGACACACAACCAGGGACTGCCAGAGCTGCTCCAGGGAAGGTGCTGCAGACTGGCAGGGGTGGGGGGAGCTTTCCTCAGAAAAGATCAAGAGAAAATAGAAATCTTTCATCCATTTATCATGTCGTGGTAGTGACAGAGCTGGAACAGAAGTGCCAGCAGGGAGGAGACTGGAGTTGGAATTCTGTACCTCGGGATAACAGCAGGGCCAGTGCCCGGGAATGGGGCATTAAAAATACTAAGCAAAGGTTTGAATGTAAACATACAAAACATTTAAATGTAAATTTTAATGTAAGTAAAATCTAAAATGTAAGCACTAATCTGAAATTAAAATCTAAATAGGAAAATATTATGCAGAGGTTTAAAGCTAAATATAGACATACTTAAATATAATTTTAATATAAACTGAAAAATATAAATACTAATATAAAATATAAATATAAGTAGAACAATATTAAGGAAATGTTGAATATTTTCCAACCTGGGCTCATAACCAACAGCAGGTACCCAGTTTCTCTGCTTGGGAGCTCTGTGTGCTGCAGGCAGAAGAACTCTATATTCCTGATAGAAGCTGCTGTAACAAGATCCTGCTCCTCATGGCCCCGGGGCCGAGCAGAGCCTTGTGTTACACTGCAGGAACAGAGGGAAACGATTCGCATGCAAAAGTTAAACGGCAAATTTATTGTGTGATTCTGTCCTTGGTGGCTTGTGACTCACAGCTGAGGGTCGTTCCCTCTCGCTTTGGCGACGTTTTGTTGTGTTTCAGGCTTGCTCAATTAAATAAAAAGTAATTAAAGGCCGTAGGGCTGCAGCAGGGTGGTGGTGGAGGGGGGGGGCACACGTTGCGTTCTTATTTTTGCATGTAATTATTTTGGTCTGCAACACGTGAAATCTCCTCAGCTCCTTGGATTTCTTGTTCTGTTTTATCTGTCGGACCAAATGGTGAGCAGACTGTGAACCATTTCCCTATCGTTTTTTTAATCTTAATGTGGAGAATTTTTATTTCTGTTGGTAGAGAACCTTTCAAGTAGCCCCATAGCCTGTCTGCTCTCCCTTATCGAGGCCAGAGCACAACAGAGGTTTCAGTTTTTCATCTGCTTGTACTTTCCAGATTTGAGTTTAGCATGAATGTAAATCATCCAGATCACAAGAAGCATGGGCACGAAAGCTGTAATTAACAGAAACAATTAAACAAGGACCAGTGCAAGACAGCAGAGAAGATCAGAGGGGCCCATCTAATGCTGCTTTTCAGCTTCCCAGGGAATGAAAGGCCAATTAATTAAATTAAAACAGTGATATTGAGCTGTTCTAATTCCTCTCTGAGCCGCTCACGTGCAAGCTGAGCTGTTCTGCACGTAGGAAAGCGAGTGAAGTTGTGTGAGACACAGGGGAGGGGATGAGGATGGATATCCTGTCTCCCTGCCCTGGCAAGTCAGAGTCATGGAATGGTTTGGGTTGAAAGGGACCATAAAGATCACTGAGTTCCAACCCCCTGCCGTGGGCAGGGACACCCTCCACTAGACCAGGTTGCTGCAGGCCCAGTGCAGCTTGTTTTCACTCCTTTGTTTGACTGGTTTGGGGATTTTTGTTTTGCTCTTGGTTTGGAGCAGACCATCTCAGCTGGAGGGAAAAAACCCCTTAAGTCTCCCAGATCTCATCATCATCCGTGGCAGTGCAAATTGCTGGCCTGCCTGTCTGTGACGGGCTGTGGGCTGCATGTTAGTGAGGCAATTTAGCGAGGTGATGAACAACTTGGAGCAGTTGCTTCCCTCTGACTCCTTTGTGGCTTTGCTGCATCGGCAGAAGCTGTGGGAGAGGGTGGGAGGAGGAGGGAACGTGCTTGGGGATCATCCCTGTGCACGATGATAGAAACAGAATCACGGAGGGGAGAGCCTTCGAATCCTGTGACTGTGGATCATCTCATTTTGAAAGCAGTTCACTTGTTCAGGAGCAAAAATTTGAAAGACAATTAACTCTGAAGGCAGGCAGGGATTTGTTTTTTTTTTAAAAAAAAAAAAAACAGAGGAATTGGGTAAAACTGAGTTTCAGAGGTTTGCTGTCTGCAGAATTGTCTTTAGAAGCTTTTTCCCTGGGCTCCTGAATCATGGAATCTGCCTCGCAAACCAGAAGTGTGATTGTCTAGATAAACACTGTGTTTTGAGATTCAAGATCAGGTGTGAAGCTGCAGAGCCCCACAGGTATTTTTTTATTTTATTTTATTTTATTTTATTTTATTTTATTCCTGCAGGCTTTGGCATCTTTTGTTTGCTGTCGATGGGCAGCGATGCCTCTGTTGTGCCTTGACCTCGGGGCCTTGTTACAACCCTATTTTCACCCTCCCTGGGAAATCAGTGGATTTAAGACCTTTCCTTATTGCCTTAAACATATTTTTAAAAATACTTTTGTGGTTTTGAGCTGATTTTTTTCTTGCTCTCTGTTATGGTCGTGTATGTGGCACCTGCCACGAGAGACGTGCCAGGAGGGGATGTGTTTTCTGTCAAACTCCATCAGCCGGTAGAACAGATGCCTCTGGACTGGTTAGTGTTCATTAATGTTTATTAACACAGTCTGCACTTAAAACGTGCCTGCTGGATTTGTGCCAGATTTCCAGCACGACCTTGAACTTCACAGCGAGGTGGGGCAGTGCAAACAGCACTTGTTCTGTTTGGGATTGGGGAACGTGCAGCTCCGTCCTCAGACCCCTTTGGATGCGACATCACAGCCAGACCGTGTGGGCCAAACAGCAGCTTTTGGGATGTTTTACATGGAGGAAAATAATACTCTGTATTTTGGGTTGGGTTTTTCTTTTTTGTTGTTCTTGAAAGGCTCATAATTGCTCGAGGTGAGGGGCTGGAAGGGGAGGGTGAAATAAAAGTGCAGTTTGCCCCACGACAGGCTGGCTCCTCTCCCGCACGGAGACACTCACGGCTTTCTTTGGAGAACCCTGTGGGCTGCTGGGGACTTGAACCTCTGAGAGCCCCCCCTCAGCTCCAGCACTAAGCCCGCTCTGTGCCCGTGCTGCAGCAGCTGGGTGGGTCAGGCAGAGCCTGGAGCTGGTGCTGGTGCAGGATCACCTCAGACGGGGTGAGACGGCGTCACCTTATTCTGCAGCCCCTCTGGGTGAGGACCGGGGGCAGCTGGAGAGGTTTTCCCCGTCCCCCGGGGGTGGTGACCACAGCACACCATTTGCAGCAGGCAGCTCTGAAACTGGGCAGGGGAGGGGTGGGTTACAGGTGATGGCAGAAAGCTGGTGTCACCTCTGAGGAGTGGGACTCTGGTTATATTTTGGGTGAGATCTCTATTCCCAGCCCCACTCTTTTTTAGTTTATTGCCAGTAAAAGTTTCATTTTGTTTGCTTTATGCCTTCAATGAGCTGCTTGTGATCTAACATTAAGTTGCCTGACCCCATAAAATCATGGAAGTGGAAAATGAGCTCTTGTTTGGGCTTGCAGGCTGCTCACTCCCTTTCCATTTATTCCCCAAAACCTCGCTGCTTATCTGGGATCGAGCCTGTGACTGTGCTCCCAGATAGGACACAAGATTCCTCCATGTTTTACCAGCCCATTAAGTTGTTCTCCAGAAGCCCCAGCGAGGCTGTGGTTTGTTGGCTGATGCCTCCCTCTCTCACCTGTTTGTTCATGAAGACATAAATGATTGGATTGTAAACCGTGGCGGTCTTGGAGAAGTAGGAGGGCAGAGATGCCAGAGCTGGCTGGATGGTGATGTCTTTGTTGGTGGCCACCACCAGTGCAAACGTGCTGTAGGGCAGCCAGCAGATGAGAAAGGCCATCACCATCGCCACCACCATCCGGGTCACCTCCCGCTCCGCCTGCTGCGTTGTGTCCGACTCCTGCTGCTGCGCCGCAGCCTGCGGGGGGGGGGAGTGAGTTTGGAAGAGAGAGAGATGCCTGTGAGCAACTTGCAGCAGCATTTCCATCCCTTGGGTGCCCCCGTGTCAGTGCCAGGAGGTGTCAGCTCCACCGAGTGCCACAAAAACCTGCTTTGCGAGCAGAAGGCCGTGAGCTCACCTGTGCCCGCCGAACTTACCGCGCGCAGGGTCAGCAGCAGGTTGGTGTAGGAGAAGAGGATCAGGCTGAGGGGCATCACAAAGCAGGTGACAAACAAGGCCAGGATGTAGCTGTTGTTGTTGCTGCCGCCCGTGTACCAGTTGGGCCCACAGGAGGTTCTCAGACCTGGAACAATGTTTGGAAACAAGCCTAAACCAACAATGGGTTTGGAGAGGGGCTCAGTAATGGGCTCTGAAACAGCCAGCGCTGTCCCCTGCTTAGCAGTGACACCCAAGCACCTCTCATTTTCCTGGAGATCAGCCCCTACAGAAGGAGGTTTTGGCTGGCTGCATGCTGGCTGCAGCCAGAGCAGGTCCTGCAGTGGGCACCTTCCAAAGAACAACCTCCCAGGGAGGATTATTGAGCAGCAGGAGATACTAACACTTTGAATTCCAGCACAGGCACTCTCCAGCTATTCTGTGCTTCAAAAGCATATAAAAGATGACTCAGTGGAGTCTGATGCCCCCCTCCGCTACCTTCAGGCACGTAGCTGCTCCAGCCCAGGAGCGGTGGGGTTGTCCAGAGCAGTGACCAGCTCCAGGTGAAGGCACAGCCGCTGACGGCGTGTCGGTGCTTGAACCGAAAGTCTCCCAGGGGTCTGCAGACCACAACGTACCTCTCGAGGGCCAGGATGGCCAGGGACCACAGCCCCACAATGCCTGGGGGGAGAAGGAGGGGTTATGTCTTAGGGACAGGCTCTGCTGCCCACGCCAGAATGTGGCAGATGATGATTTAAAGCTGTGCAGGCAAATACGGTTTTAACAAGAATTCGGATGTTTTTCTTAACAGCAGGGAGAGCTGTGAGGATATTTGGCCCTTAAAGATGAAGTTGGCAATGGGTGTCTGTGACGCCTTGGGGTTGCAAACACAGTTTCTCCACAGGAGTGCCCTTGACAAAAGGTTTTGTGCAGTTTCGTGTCCCTGGTGCAGCCTCACCCACAGGTGTGCTGACACATCAGCCAGCACGCACAAAAAACACACCAAGCAGAGGTTCCTCATGTGCCCAAGTGGCATTTCCCTCTCCATGAGGACCAAGACAGAGCATATGGTGACCTGGCACAGCCAACCATCTACCTGACCCTTCCCCGCGCTAAAGAAGAGCTGAAGGACGCGAGTTTCACCACATGAAAACGCTGACTTTCGGAGATGGGAAAGCTGGCGAAACATTCCCAAAGCTCTTTCGCTCAAGACAAAGGCACCAAGGCAGGTCTCCAGGTCCCTGTCCTTACCTGTGAGGGAGACCATGAAGCCCTCCAGCTCACACAGGTGTTTGCCGAACACGAAGAAGCCGCTGATGTTGTTGGAGAGGCTGACGGAGCTGCCGCAGAGCGTCACCAGCAGGTTGGCCACCGCCAGGTTCACCAGGATGTAGTTCAGGGGCGACCGGAGCTTCTTGTACCTGATGGAAACCACGATGACCAGGCCGTTCACGACCGAGGCCGAGACCACGACGAGGCCCATCAGCACAGCCACCGACAGGTACATGGCCCGTGGGGCCTGGTGGGGCCACTGGGGGCCATCAAAAGGCCCCGGGGTCCCGTTATTCGGGGGCTCCTGCGAGCTGTCGGAGGAGTACATGGGGCTTCTGGAGCTCCACCTGGTGCAGGTGAACCTCCCCAAAAGCACAGCCTCTTTATAGAGCAGGAGGGGCTGACGTGCCCCAGAGCAGCTTTGCATTCAAAATACTTTAAGCTTTATTTTAATCTGAGGGGTTTGTGCCCCCGCCCCTCCCCGTTTTATAATCAGCTCTTTATTCCGGAGGGGATAAAGACTGACTTAAACAAAAATCTGATGACTGAACAGAGCATCATTTAATTGAGTAAATATTTTTTTCCTTGTGCTTTCCAGCTGTCTTTTCCTGTAAGTGTGACCCCTGCCCAGCCTTGGCACCTGGGACTGGCTGTAATTCCCTGTGCCCTGGGGTTGTTGGGCTGCAGGCTACTATTTACATATACACACATAAATATATAAAAATGTACTATATATACTACATTGTATTTTCTTTCTCTCCATAGATATATTTATTTACTTATATATGCATTTATACACATAGTGTATATATACTACATTGGGTCAAGCAGCCCCCAAAGCTCTGGTTTAAAACCATCTCCTGCTCCTCAAATCCTTTCCAGACCCTAAATTCAAAAGCTGCACCACCAGCATCAACCTTTTTTCTTTTTTTTTTTTTTTTTTTTTAACCTTTTTATTTTCGGTTCTCATTATAAATATTAACAAATCTGACAAAAAGTACTACACGGATAGGTAATACTGAAATACAAAAGTCTTTCAGGATGCAGGTAAGGACGGTTTCTGCAGCCTTCACATGGTAGCAAAACATTGGTATCAAACATTTCACGAGGCCTGGCATGACAACCACCAACTCTGCATGCAGCTGGGACGGACAGACGGATGGAGTGCCCGCTTAGAAAAGACTGGGATACAAAGTGAAGGAACCCACACACACACATGTCCTACTCCACCTCAGGCATAAACCAGTTTCATAGCAAGATAGGCCAGAACAAATGATGGTTCAAAAGGAACTTTGCAAGAAAAAGGGAGGCACGGCCAACCTGGTGCTCCTGGAGCTTCCCTGGAAGCTCAGACCCAAACCAGGTTTTAAGGTGCTGGACCAGAAAGGATTACTGGGAACATCCGACTTGACACGCTGTCAGCATTCAAATAAAATCCATGCATATCTGTAGAATGCATTACAAATATTAAGTTATTAAAAAAACCCCTAGGAAGCTTGGTTTCTTTTATTCCCCCCCCCCCCCATATCAAACAAGGTGTAACACGATCGTCACTTTGAAAAGTAAACGGAGGTTTCCAGAGATCCCATTGTTTTCCAAGAAAAAAAGAAGTCAGCAACACGCTCATCTGCATGCACAGGGCTCGGAAGCTGAAGGTAATTGAGACCTGTGGGGAAAGAGCAGCTCTTCCTAAGAAATCGTGGTTGAAAGGCTTCGAAAATTTTGGGAAACGTGCAGCATTTCATAGGAAGTTTTTGCTCATCCCTCTGGACGTCCAGCGGGATGAGGATGCAGAGGCAGGCCAAGGTGGATCACAGAGGAGGATTATTACTATTATTATAATATTATTATATTATTACTGTGCCATACACAGCAGTTCGGTTTGGATGCTGTTTGAGGCAGAAAATGGGCCAACCTGACAGCTGTGCCAGAGCCGAGCATCTCCACAAGCATCATTCCAGCTCAGCCCCGAGGCTCAGCGCCTTCACTGGGTTTTATTTAATGGCACGAATTGGAAAAGGATGAATAAGGGAGAAATGATAGGAAAAATTTAGCCTGAAAACTGGCTTTGCTGGAAAAATAGCTGTGCTGCCGCGCGGCTCCGGGCGGGAAGGCATGGTTTCACCAGGAGAGCTCCCCGATCCTGGGGAGCAGGGACAGCCAGGGGGTTTCACCCAGCCTTTTATTTTGCCTCCCAAATGTGAGGCTGCCCGAGCCCGAGAGGAAAACCGTGGTCTGCACAGCTGACAGTGCTGACTTCACATGAGTTATTATCGGAGAGGACGAGCACAACACTCCTGGAAGAACAACGAACGCCCTGTCCAGGTTATCAGGGACACAATCATTCCAACAGAGGAGATTTAAATGCATAAAAGACATTTGTTTAGGCCCAAAACCACAGAGACTTGACAAACCACCAGGGATATGGCACGATTTCGCCTCGAGAAAAAACAGTTCCAGGTTTTAGTGACGCCTTTTGCCGACGCCGGACACACGGACGCAGACGGACGCATTCATTTTTGCCACTGAACTGCAAGGCAGCGAGAAGGTAACTCGGTACAGCCGGGATTGGGAGAAGGAGCCAGACTGCAGAGCATGCAGGCGTGAGGTGGCCACGTGTGTGTGCACACGTGTGTGTGTGTGTGTGTGTGCACGTGCATGCTCGTGGGCGGGGGCTGTGAGCGTGTCAGGGTGCCGAGCGGCGTTTCGGACGAGCCTTGGGAGCCGGGACGGGCTGAGCGGAGCCAAGCGCCGCTGCCATCTCCCCCGGGAAGGGTTTCCCTTGCAGCCAGGCCGGGCCGTGGGGTGTCCCGCTCTGCCGGCCGCCCCCGGTGCCGCGATCCCCCCGTATCCAAAGCCGTAAAGGAGAGGAGTCCAAAGGCCGTGGCGGAGCCGTGGCCGCCCGGGAGCGGCCCCGTCGGAGCTCAGTCGCTGAGGACGGCGCCCGGCAGCTCGTTCGTTAGCGTGTGCCAGCGCTCGATCTTCTTGTCCTTGTTCTTCAGGCAGTCGAACCAGTGCTTCAGCCGCTCGCCTTTGGCATTAATTCCTAACACCACTCCGCCTTGGGAGAGAGACAGAGACGGGGAGAGGTGAGGCGGGAGCATCAGCTCTGTGAGGGATGCAGGGGATGCCCAGAGGATGCTGGAGGATGCAGGATGGAGCCAGGGCACGCATCATCCTCGCAGCATCCGATGCCACGACCTGATGTGACACAAAGGCAACTGTAGCCCTTCCCCGCCCCCCTCGTGGCTGGGAGCTGGGCCCTGTCCCAAGCAGCTTGTTCCTGTGCCAAGGGCTCACTGCAGTTGCAGCAGCTGTCAGAGATACCGGGCACTTGTTAGTGATAAATCACAGTGACCAGGAGCAAAATCACAACAAGCCCAGATACCCAATAGAGATAAAAGAAACCTCACTGTTAAACCTGTTTTTCTGTTCAGAGGAAAAGATCTGAAAACAGAAAAGGTGAGGGAGATGCATCTTCTGCCTGCTCAGGTGCTCCTTGCATGGGGGATTGTCCACGTGGAAGAGGAGGCTCAGGTACAGGACAGGGATAAAAGCAGAACCAAAACCCAGCAAGAATGCATGTGGGGATGGAGAAGTGCAGAAGAGCAGCAGATGAAAAAATAAGAGGCACAGACAGTGAAGCGAAATAAAAAAGATACCTTCTGGGGTGCCCCACTCACCTATGAAATCGTTTGATTTCCCGATATCATAGTCCCACACGGTGATTTCCAAGGTCTTTTTTGCCAGGTCGCCGTGCTTTATCTCATAGCAAAACTCCTGGGGGGGAGCGGAGACAGCGCAGGATGAAACAGGAGCTGGGGCTGCCCATCCTCCTCCTCGGGCTGCTGCCCTTTGCCACCCACAAGGAACCCAACCCCGATCCCCCACACAGTGACTAAGGTGTTGCTTCTATCTCTTAAGTCTGAGGACCGAGAACAGCCCCTCTTTGAGAACCATAACCATCCTAAACCCACCTCGTTGAACTCGGGGTTCAGTGTTTTCTTCTTCACTGCCGTCTTGTGCTTTGATTTCTTGTCCTCATCTGGTTTCAAGTATCTGCAATGAGACCAAGGCAGCCACATCACACTTGGGTGCTGACGAGGGCACCTGGTGGGACCAGATCCCAGTGGAGGCAGGATGAGATGGGCAACTGGGTCCCATGAACCTGTGGCTCTCTTTCCCCTGCTGAAACGTTGGGAATGCCTGGGAGGAGGCAGCATTTGCCGACCTTAGCACAAGCAAGTTGCTGGTTGCAGGGAGCACTGATTATCCCATCTCCAGTCCCTAGGGGACACTGGCACTGCACACACGCTCCCAGCTCCCAAAACCAATCACTCCCCGCCCCAGTCCCAGTCCAGACTTGGGACTCTGCTGCTGGTCTGCTCATCCAGAGTCTCTCCAGGAGACAGGAAGAACATACGGTGTGGAAAAGAGAGCAGGAGTGGCAACTGCAGCTTCAGGCACCACTGTTCCCTGTGGATATTCTGCAGCACAGCAGCAGGGCTGGAGAGCAAACAAGATTAAAGTGTCATCAAGCAGAGAGGGCACCTGAAATCTGGGCCAGACCAGAGTCAAACCATCATCATTTTGTGCTGGTGCTGCGCCTTTAAGTATCAATTCTGCCTCCTTGTTACACTTTCCAGATCTTGCTCATAATTAAAAAATTAGGGCTTGTACTGAGAAGCATCACTTCTCTATCTGCTCTAATTCCAGCCCTGCAGATTCAGTCTCCTGTGAATGGCACCCAAAACCAGCTGGGTACAACAATGGGAATTGTGTTGCTCGTGGGCATTTAAAAAAGCAAGAGGGCATTTCTATACAAACACCTCCACCCTTAAAGAACGATTAAATAGGAAGGTCAAAGTGTCCTGCTGATTAATTCCATTACTGGGCTCCCAGGCGTGGTTTATCCCAGTAGTTCTGCCTTAAATAGAGTCCCTATTAGACACTATTAGAGTTTGGGTGAGTGCTGTGGGAACAGGGATGTGGGATGGGCACAGAGAAGATTGCTGGTCCTTCCATGCCATGGTCACCCCTTCTTTGCAGAGTGAATGTGAAAAATACCATCCCCCTCAAAAAAAACAGGAGCTGCAGCAATCAGGAGCTTTACACCAGCCTGGCTGAGGCCTTCACCTTCCTCAGCATCTCTGGAAAGCCCCTGGGTGACACCTGAATCACCTGGGTTAGGCTGAGTCAGCAGCTCATTGCAGTCATTTGAGTGACTGCACTTAATATCGCTGGTGCTTTCAAAAGGAAGGTGCTCCCAGTCATTTACATTGGGAAGTGTCAGCGGGACCTGTAAATGTGCCCTCAGCTCTGTTAACAGGGCCCTGGAGCAGCGGGAGCCCCGGGTTGCCATTAAAGTGCTGTCTGACCTAATTACACGCACGTTGTAATTAGAGCTTTTCCCAAGTGCAGGGTGGTGGCCAGGAGCTGGGCTCTGAGCTGGGCTGGGAATCTCCTCTCCCTTGGGACCTGGGGAAGGGGGTGATTACCTGCCCATCCCCTGGGGCTGGAATGGGGAGATGCCTGTGCCCTAACCCATCAGCAAAACCCGACCGTACCCGCCTGCTTTGGGCCACCGACTCTGTCCCCAGGGCCACATCCCTGCCTCAGACCCTCTCTCAGGGCAGAGCTGCTCCTGGCAGTGAGCGCCACAGCCACCAGCAGGGATGGATGCCCCTGATGGCACAGGCTGGGCACAGCCACACACCACCAGGCAGCTCCTGCGCCCGCCTCACCTGGCAGCTCTGCAAAATAATTGCCAAGGGAACAGCAACGCTCCGGGCAAACGCAGGCTGCTGCCGTGGCGCCCTCATTTGCATCTCCTAATGAGATCAATTAATTTCCACTGCAGGGAGAGGCGGGAGGGGACAGCACAGCTCGTGGCCGTGCCTCACCTGGCGCGGGGCAGGACTCACGTTTTGACGTAGGGGTCGGAGTAGCCGTTGGCATCCATGGCAGCCAGGTGGGCGCAGCGGATGATGCCCACCAGGAGCGCCTGCTTCTGGGAGCTGTACTTGAGGGAGATGAGGATCCGGCCACGCTCCTCCAGAGACTTGTCCTCTGTTTTATCTATCTGCAGGAGGGAATGCAGCCGGTCCGGGAGCTGTTCCGCGGCCGGACGCCCCCCGTCCCCAGCACAAGGGGTGCTCCCACAGTCCCACGTGCAAGCTGCTGCTACATCCATGGTCCCACGGTGGGGACGTGGCTTCGAACCTCCCACTCACCGGCAGCTGCTTCTCCAGGCAGATGTTGAAGTTTTTGGTCTGGTTGGGCTTCAGTTTCTTCAGCGGGATCCGCGTCTCCCCAATGAACTCGTTGTGGCGGAACTTGTCCTCGTCACAGACCGAGATCCTGCAACAGGCACGGGGTGAGCAGGGACGCTGGGGAGAGGGGAAAGGCTGCCCCATTGTACTGCAGGTCACCCCAGAGTGGGGGCGAGGTCACTCTTTCCCAGCTCATTGACTGGGCATCTCCTCCTCAGGCAGCTGGAGGGCATTCAAGTGCTGCCACAGCCTGCCCAGGGCAGCTCCTGGTGAGAGTCGGTATCTAACACGGGTCCCAGCCCAGGCACTGCTGGAAAACCAACCTCAAACATCCCAGTGGCTCTTCCATAAAACATCAAAGTCACTGGTGACTAAAGTAAAACTACTGAGCTGCCACCAGCCCAGCTGCATTTTGCCTGGCCGTGGAGGCTCCTCCTCAAAACCACCCTCAGACTGTGCCACCGGGAGAAGTGTCGCTCCCACAGAGCTCCCTCCCTCCCACCCGAGGGGCTCGGGCACCGCTCAGAGCGTGGCAGCTCTTGGGGTGACCCTGGCTGCCAGTCTGGGGCACAGAGTGGATCTGCCACCTCCCCTCCCACCATGCAGACAAGCCCATGAAGGATTTACAGCCCCAGCGGGTGGAAAGCATCACACCTGAGCCAGGAGCAGCTCTCCCAGCCCCAGCGGGGTCCCGGGATGCATCCCCGTGACGGCAGCGGAGGGCAGTGACGGTGGAGCTGAGCCAAAAGGCTCTTTTCCATGAGAAAGCTATAAATGCCTTTCCCTGAGCTGGCAGCTAATGAGTCATTTCTCTGCTGCTTCCCAGCCCACTCTGGGCGTCAGGAGAGACGATAGAAGAGCAAAGTTAGTGCTTGCAGGGAGCCTCTGCTCCCTGCTCCTGAAATCCCAGAGAGGCCAGGAGGGTGGTGGCTGCCTTGAGGGACCAGCTGTTCCCCAGCAGTGCTGTCTGGACATGGTGACAGGGAAAGCCATCCCATCCCCCTCCAAATGGAGCATCCAGCATCCTGCATCCTCATTGGAGCCACGCAGGGAGCGGCTGGGCTCCCTGCCCATAAAGGAAAGGCATTTCCCTTCCCTTACATTCTCTGCTTTCTCCTTTTTAAAAAAATATTCCTACAGTATCTTCTCATCCTTTCTCTACGTGCTTTTCTTCTCTTTCACCCACTCCTGCTGATGTCCATTTCCCTCTGCCTCCAGGGACAACATGGGGAGGGGGAAAAAGTAATTAAAGAGAAATAGTGTGCTGTGATCCCACCTGAGAGTAACTTACTGCACACCACACCTCCAGCCTGCTCAGCATCTGGATGGCATTTCCATGGATGAGTTATCTATACATGGCTTATCTGTGGATTGTTTATGCATGGATGGTTTGTCCATGGATGGTTTACCTGTGGATAGTTTAGCGGCTTATCTACAGATAGTTTGACCACCTTCATGCTCACAAGTGAATAACAAGGAAGCAAGGAAGCCATGGGATGTCTCAGTGGCATGGCACAAAGATTAGGGAGCAGCAGAGCAAAGGGGTTTGGAAAAAAAAAAAAATGGAAGTGGGAAGACAGGGAATGCTGCTCTCCAGAAAACCATAGCTGGATGCAGTGTTACTATAGATACCCACGAATAAAACCCCCCACTGCAATAATAAAACCCTCAAAGAGGATCTCAAATGCAGGCACAATATTCCCAGTTTCCCTTCCTCCTCTTGCTTTTCTTTTAAAGAACAAAACTGACACAGGAGCAGGAGCAGCAGCTCCGGAGATGACACTTGCCGGGTGTGTGTCCGTCTGGGCAAAGCTGGGGAGGGAAGGGGAGGGCAGGGATGGGAAGGTTGGTCTGGAGAGAAGGGGACAGAAGGGAACGGGGAGGGACAGGAGGGGACATGGCCTCACAGGGAGCTGACAGCCCAGGGAATGTTTGTACACCCAGCAATCACAGAGTGGTGCTGGCTCCCAGGAACTCAGGGAAACGGGATTTGGGATGGTTTTCCCTCCTAAAAAATGTGAGTAGCAAGATCTTGTCCTGACAAGGTCTAAGTACACCCCAGAAGCACAACAAGATCCTGCTTGCTGTGAAGCCCCAGGCACATCCAGGACGGGCAGAAAACCAGGAAGGAAACACATGGAAAACTTCCGTGGTGGTGGCAGGGAGAGCATCTCCAGAGTCACACTGGGAGAGGCCACAGAGCCCCACCAGAATCACACTGGGAGAGGCCACAGAGCCCCACCAAGCCTTGTTTCACTGCCCACAGGATCACATCTGTGTGCAGTGCCCAGAGGGGTTCAGTCAGGGTTTCATACCAGCCCTCCCAGTGCCTCACTCAGTCCCCAATCCCAACCCCTCTGTCTGGCTGCAGTTTATCCCCACTGGGATGGTATTTTTAGCTCAGGCAGGCTGGCAGTGCCCTGGTCCATCAGTGAAGGCAGGAGCAGTGAGTCAGATGAGCAGGCAGCTCCAGCCCCGGCCCTCCCTTTGGAAAACGGCATAATGCAATTACGCCAGCTTGAATTTTATTACGAGAAATCGATGTGATGGAATTTTTATGCCTTGGGTTAGAAAATCAGCTCCATGACAAACAGCACGGGACGCCTCCAGCAGCCTCGTTCACCTGCCATCCCGAGCTTGTAAGTCGAGCAACACCCATCCCTCGTCTCTCCCTACGAATCCCAATCCCTCCAGCTCAGCCTTTGGTTTGGTATCTTCACTGCGGGGCCCTGATCTTCAAGTTAAGGGCTGTGAAAACCACCTTGGAAGAAAACTAAGCAGCAAATGAACAATCACTGCTCATTAAACTTATTCTGCCTCCTACTCAGCCCGGGCTCCTGGGTTACAGCCCTGACTCACCGCGCAGCTCCAGCAGCCCCGCTCCGCTGACTCACGGCTTCTGCTCTCACACACATTCCTCTGGCCTCTTTCCCAGTGTGGAAAGGGGAAATGGGGGTCAACCAGGACCCTTTTCCACAGCACACACGCACACAATAGGCAGCAGAGCATCCTCTGTGCCCAAGATCCCTTATGGTCCCTATAGCAACTTGGCTCTCGATGAGGAGCGGAGTGCAGGTGATGCTGGCTTGGCGTAAGGACAGGCAACACCAGGCAAGGAGGGAAAACAGCAAAAGTCTGCACCTGGGAACTGTCCAGCTCTCCGAAAAACAAAAGGAGGATTCAGTGCTGGGCTCCATCACAAAATGCCTCGAAGTGTGAGAGCAGAAACCACAGAGAAGTGAGACACAATTACAAGGGCACCTGCAGTTCTGATCAAACCCCATTCAGCACTTCCAGAGCAAAGCGATTCAGGACCCCAAACCTCCAAGCGTCTTCACTACGCCTATTAGACCTGATCAAATACTATTTTCTGAATAATATATTTAATGAGTCACGATGTTTGTCAAACACATGATTAAACAAAGAATTCCTGGCATTCGTGGGCTAGCTGAGTATCATATGAATAATGCATCGCTTCGCCAATATATCTGGATAAGAATAATTGTATCCAATATCTGGCCAGCTCTGGTATTTATTATGGATACAATTTATTTGTTGCATATTACATGTATTATTTAAATGTAGGCGATTGTATTCTGCCTATTCCAATTTCCCCTGCAGTGTTTCTCTGCCTCCCCCTGACACGCACCTTGGCTTCCCACCACCGGTCAGAGCTTCCAAAGTGCTGCCACGCGGTCATGCCTGGAGCCCAGATGGGAGTGGGGACTGTGGGGTGGGATTTTCCCTCTCAGTGCTGCCAGGGAACCTGCCCCCAAGCCCATCCATCTGTGCACTCGGAGTCCAGCGCCTTTCACATGGCGGTGAACCTCCTTTCTCCCAGGCTGGTGGGTGGTTTCATCCCTGTTAAGCCTTGGGCTAGACTCAGGGATATTTAATTCAATGAATGGATGAGACCTTTCGAGATCCTCCCACCTGCTGTGCTTCATGAAATCCAAAGTATCTGGTGTTATTTGAGGGGGTTGATTCATTAACAAAATCCCGCTTGCCAGCGCAATCAGCTGGGCTGCCTTCACCTCTCCTTCACCCTGGGGGTGGCCCTGCTTGGGGAGGTGAACCCTGGTGGCTCTCGGGGTCTGTCACTACAAAGCCACTTGACCAGTTTGGACAAGGGGGCTCAGGAAAGAAGGGACCCATCACTCAGCTCTCCAGGATGTCCCTATTCCAGCTGCTCCAGCAAATGCCACTCATCCCCTTGAAGAGAGCTGTAGGCTCTGGCAGAGTGCCCCATTCCAGCACCACCCCACCAATCCACGCTGGACACGTCCCCACCAGAAGCCCAGGTGGGCAGGAAAGATTTCTGGGTGCTTTTCCAGCTCTGTAGGCAGCGGGGAGGCAAAGGCTGGCGGCAGCTTTGATCTCCACCCATTATTTTCACATTAAAGAGACTTTGCGATCCGCATTCCCTGCCCCTCCCTGGATCTCAGCACCAGGGAGGCTCCCGGGGAACGGTCACAGCCCAGACCGAGGGGAGCATCACTCATGCTCTTTCAAGTACCACCAGCTGCCTGGCAGGAGCCTCGCCTGATTAGCACAGGGAAAACCAGCGTCCTCAGCGCTTTGAAGTTGGCTCTTCCTGACGAAAAAATTCTTCCCTGGGAGGGTGGGGAGGCCCTGGCAGAGGTTGGGCAGAGGAGCTGTGGCTGCCCCATCCCTGGAAGTGTCCAAGGCCAGGTTGGAAGGGGCTTGGAGCAACCTGGGACAGTGGGAGGTGTCCCTGCCCATGGCAGGGGGGTGGAACAAGATGAGCTTTAAAGTGCCTTCCAGTGCAAGCCATTCTGTGACCACAGACCCTTCCCCAGGGAGAAGCAGCTCCCAGGGCCCTGAAAAGGTGGGGGTTGAGCCCTCCTGCTCCCTGCTGCCTGCCAGCAAATAACTCAGCCGGGCATCTCCCTACAAACTGATTTCCACGCTTGAGGAGGCTGAAAACTTCAAAGCCTGGAGTGAAAAAATACCCACCAATAATAATAACAAACCAGAGGCTTTCCAGCCCCATCAGCCTGCAGCACTTCCAGCATGACTAATGTTTTCCAAGTGAAATAATAATCCATGGCGCTGAATTTCCCATCTCTATGCACATTGCAGACAACAGGTGGGCTCTGCCCCGGTTCACCTCTGAGCAGGACCTTTTATAAGGCAGCTTTGAGCTCCTGTCATGGGGAAAATCACAAACTCCCAGGGCACCTGCAAATGAGGAGGGTGGGATTCCAGCCACGGAGCTGGCAAAGCCCTGAGTCCTTGGAGCAGGATGCAAAATCCTCCTTTGTTTGACAGCAGATCTTCCAGCAAATCCTGCAGCGCAGTCCCAGATCAGCGCAGTGATGGAGCAGCTGAGGCTGCCCAGAATCCTCCCCCCACCGCCCCGAGCAGGATCTGTCATCAGGATCAGGATCATTCCCTGCCCTCACCCAGGTGGGACAGAGGCCAAGACTTAAAAATCTTTGCATTCACAGGAGTCTGCTCCCTGCAGAGCATCATTTCCAATCTCTCCCCATCCCACCACTCCACCCCTGCCCACTTCTAGCCCCACACAACCTCTCCCAGCCCCTGGGAGATGCTTCCAGGAATACACAGAGACTGAACCAAACCAATAGAGTAGAATAAATACAAATAGCATAAATACAAATACTCTTTGTTTAGTTTGACAGTAATTCACAGATGCCTCCAGCTCTCTTCCAAAAAGCTCAGCCTCGAAAGGGCCCTAGAACTCGCCTGGGGAGATTTTCTCAGCAAGACAAGACCACAGAGCCTTAACATGTGCCCGTGAGAGCTGGGCACGAAGAGGTTAAACCCAAACACCATCACCTCTGCAGGCAGGAGCCAGCCAGTGAGTTATGAAGTTAATGACAAAGCAGGAACATGCCCCTCACTGGTTATTCCAGCCCAGGCTGCCTGTAAATCACGTGCTGGTCACCGCGGGGGTGATGGATATGTGCAGGGCACACGCACAGGTTTTGGCTTTGGTGGGTGAGAACTCTGCCCTGCTCTGCTGTGAGCAGCGCCAGGACTCTCCTGTGGGGCAGGGCCATGTCCCCCCAGCACTGGGCTCAGCACCCCCTCGCCCCCCGGGCCCTACCGCAGGGTCTTGCGGATCATGTCCTCGTCGGTGATGCCGTAGTAGGTGAGCGTCTCGTTCCAGGTGGGGTTCAAAGTGTTGCGCAGCGTTTTGGTTCTCAGCTTATTCGCCTGGAAGAGCAAAGGAGGTTGTGGTCAGTGGGAAGCAGCCCCAGGAGGTCATTTGGGATGGGAGTGGAGAGAAAAGGAAGCGCAGTTTGGAAATGAAGGGGCAACGGGTGCTGTCACCCTTCTGCCCCGAGCACTGTAACCTGGCCAGTCCTCCATGGGGTGGCCAAGTCCACCCTGACTGCAGCAATAACCAGAGGGGCAGAGACACAGCAACTCACTGATTTGCAAAGCAATCCAACCCCACATCCCGCACCCTGGAAACAGCCAGCAAAATGGGAACCTTGGCAGAGCGCAGAGCGGGGACGGGCATTTCATTTATGCAGTAGGAGAGAGCGAGAGAGAGGGGAAAGAAAAAAAAAGCCTTTTCAGGTTCATTAAAAAATACCAATTTGCTGTTCTGGCTGTTTGTTTGCATTCCCACTCCCAGCACAGCTCCCGATCCTGCCTGACTCAAAATAACTTCCTTGATACGCGTTTTGTCAGCACCAGCAACTCCTTCCAGCGCCGCAGCTCTGCAGAGTGGGAGGACGGGGACAGCAGGGCTTGTGTTCCTGGCATTGGTGGGGCATCCTTGCACACACCCACTCCCCAGCTCAGGGAACAATAATCTGCTTACTCCCTGAGATCCTTGTTTCTGCTGGGACAGGGGGAGAGCAGGAGCAAAGGCCTGAGGCTGCAGATGGGGCTTCCTCACCAGCCCCCAGCCTGGCACAGCCTGGCAGAGCAGCAATTTTCCCTCTAATTAGGTGTCAGACAGCTCAATCCCTGCCTCAGCTGCTGCTGGGTGTAAGGAACCCTCAGGACATCAACACCTCGTCTCGTGGGTCTTTATGGGAAGCTGCTACATTCCCCACGTGGGGTTCAGCAGCCCTGAGCTAAATGTGAGCAGGATGCAAAGCACGGGGGGAAGAAGAGAACTCACTCTTGCAGCATGAGGGGGGTCACTTTGCTGACCTGTCCTTCCCACACCAAAAGCACCCCGAACACACAACCTCTTCCAGATCAGCTGGAGGTGGTCACCAGCTGGAGCTGCCAGTGCAGCAGAACCGTGGAGGGATGGCTCACTCCCAAAGCCTTGTGCAAAGCAGCTGCTTGCTCTGGTTTTGATCTCTCAGAGATAGAGAATGCCTCTGGAGTTTGTGCTGCTCTCACTTGCATTTCCAAAGCCATTTCTGAGTCTGAAATAAACCCAAACCCTGTCCAGCGCTCTGGAGCTGCGAAACACCCAGGGCCAGGTTAGGAGGAGGATGCCCCTGGAGCAAGGGGAGATGCTCCAGGAGCTGAGGGGGATGCAGGGGCAGGGACTCAATTAGCAGCAGCATCTAAAGCCCTGCAATGCCAGTGCCTTTTCTACCACTCAAGCAGGAGCTGGTTTGCAGGAGGAGAAGCTACCAGCCTGGCTGTGCACTGAGTCCATCCCCACATGCCCAATGACAGTGATGCAAACCAAAGGGGACTGCAGGCAGGTGCTCTCGTATATGGCCTCCTGTCACCTTTGATTTAATACCTTGTTTGCCTTAAATCTTTCCTGTCTTTGTAAAGTTGTTTCAATTGAGGCACTTTATTGTACCAGGTTCCATTCCCACATCTATTTTATCTCAGTGATATTGTGGCCACCACGCCAACCTCCAGCCCAAGCAGCAGGATACATAACAGATAGGGATCCTAAAGCTTGCTGAAGGGTGACAAGGACAGCAGGGAAAGCACCCTGATGGCACCCACTGCCTGCTCAGACCTGTGGGTACCATATCCTGGGGCTGGGGCTCTGGGGGTGGAGGGAAAGTGGGTTTAGCCACGGGGGGTGACATGATGGGCATCACCCAGCAGCTAACGCTGCCCTGGGCAAGGGACATCAATTAGATCAGAGGAGCTGAGCTCTGGGAGTGCCTTTTTCTCCCATCTGGAATGACTCAGTAGTCAGTAACCAGCTCACGTGGAGGGCTGAATGGGGAATGAATTCCAGCCCTGCATGGGGAATGAATTCCAGCCCTGCTTCCCACAGGTGGCTGAGAGCCCAAGACTGGGACAGAAACACCCGAGGGACTCAGGGACAATCCTGCTGCTGGAGCACCTGTACAGAAACATCCAGCCCAGCACACACCTGCGATCCCCCCAGACCTGCTCACCTCTCCCAGGGCAGATCCAGACAGTGCTGCTTGGAATGTGGGGGCAAGGAGAGGGTCCCCCCACGGCCGCTCCGGGCTTGTGGAGTCTACAGCTCCTGCGCTACCCTCAGCTCAGCGCTCCCCTCCTGCCTCTCCTCTCTCCATCACCTCCAGCAGAAATGCTAATCAATGCATTTGCAAAACATGGAAATGACAGATAATATCGCTGATGAAAGCGCTCCCGGCTCTCCTAATTCCAGCGGAACTTGAAATGTGGTTAAAAACTCCCTCTACCGCCCTGAACATTATGAATTAATTCAACTGAACCGTAACAAGTAAATACACCTCCCCAAAAAAGGTCTTTCCTTTCGTGTAGAATGGGAGTGCAATTAATATTCATAACACATACGTTTAGCATTTAAATTCCACATCCCCATCAGTTACACCAAGCTCTCACTACACATCAATATCTTTAATTACTCTTCTCTCCAGCAAGCGCCGAACCTAAGGAGATGGAAATATTTCCCTTATGATTTATACTCTGTTTTATTATGATCTGAGGGGTTTAAAATGCAAAAGAAAGAGGGCAAAAGAAAAAATAAAATTAAAAGGGTCTGGTTTGTTTATAGCTTCAGATTGTTTCACTCGGTGCTTCCCAGGGGCTCCTGGAGAGCAGCATTTTGCATCCCCTGCTCCCAAGATGAGGAGTCAGGGATGGCACCTGAGTCCCAGGAAGTGGTTTCCCAGAAAGGTATTTTCTACCCCTATAAGGATGGATTTAGCCCCAGTTCTTACCTCCTGCTCTCTCTGAGGACTTTTGGCTCAAGAAATGGGCAGGAGGCTCGAGGCTTGGCTGCAGCAGCCCCTGGGTGAGGAGGTTCTCCCTGGGGAACCTCCTGGATCTGATTTCCAAGGAAAAGGCACGGCCCCAGGAAGAGAAGAAGAAGTGAAAAGGTGTCTCACCTTACTGGCTCCGGGAAGCAAGTGCAATTTGACGTATGGATCAGCCAAACCGTTATGGTCCATCGGCTTCAGGCCCTGGAGAGGGAACAGCAAAAAGCAGGAGTCAGGATAACAGCAGGATGCTGGGCAGGCAGGGTGGCTTTCACTGAACCCATCCACCAGTGTCTGGTCCACGGAGTATTTGCATTTCCTCAGGCCTGGGGAAGGAGGGGAGAGCGGCTGCCGCAGGATCCAGGCTGGGCAGCAAAGCCACGCACGCCCAGCATTACAACACCATCTCTGGAGCCGAGGAGGGGCTGGGGGAAGCTCCTCACCTGCACTTGGCATCGGCCACCAGGCACTGCTCTGCTCTCCTGGCAGCCTGACTCTGCCATCCTCATCACAACTAATTTGGGGGTTAAGTAAATCAGCACAGCGACTTCCGAGGTTTGAAATTACAGGGTTTTGTCATTTAATAATTGCTTATGAGCAAACACACACCTCTGCTGTTGTGATGCTACTTCTAAGCGCTCCCAGAGGGTGTGATAGCACCTACCTACTCCGTGTGATTAAGGCACAGCTGAAGGAAGAACAGCTTCAGGCCAGTGGGAGGCTGGTGCCAGCTGAATGCTGCGGTGTTTGCAAGGAAATCTGGGGGTGCCAGAGCACAGACACAGCCATTCCTGATGCAGGGATGCAGCCATTCCTGATGGATTTGATACAACACCCTCACAGCTCTTAAAGGATGACGCGGAACGTGTTTGTTATAGCAATGCTCTGGAGCTGATCCTGCTTTGGGCAGAGGGAGGACACAAGCTGTGCCTCTGCTCCCCTTCTAAACAACCTGTAAATTATCCAAGGGCGATGCACAAACCCAGCCCAAAGCTGTAACTGCACAGGCTGCATGGAAACAGACTCCACAGGGCAGGGAAGCAACTCAGGAGCATGAAAAATGGAGCCTAATTTTCACCAGTCCTGAGCAGAAATGAGAATGGCTCCACCGTGGAAGTCTTTGGATTGTTTCCAGCCTGGCTGCGGGATCCCTGCAGGAGTCATTGCTGGGCTGGCTGAAGGCAATTCTGTGCCTGGATCAGAGGAGGGTTTCTCTGCAGAAGTATCCATCCAAGCCTGGCTCCAAACTGGGCATGGAGATCAGGCTGGGGTGATGCTAAAGACTCGTCACACCCGTTTTGTGATGAGCAGAGTACTCACTGCCTGGATAATGAGTCCATGCAGCTGCCAGGCATCCACCTGGCAGGAAAGCATTTGTATGGACTGCTGGTGGAACGGCTGTGGGTAATGGAAATGTAATCATTAAGGCCTGGATTTGGGCAAATCAGCGAGGGAAACCGCTTCCATATTTCACACGTATGGAATAGCTCACCCAACCCAACCTGCAGTGCCACAGCAGCTTCTTGGGATGCCCTGTCCCACCCCTGAGCTGCACAACCTGGCCAAGGGGGCAGGATGTTCCTGACCTTGGGAATGTCTCTGATTTGGAGCGAGGCTTCTGCTTCAGAGACAAGGGCTCTGCTTCAGAGACAAGCAAGCTGCCCTGAGGCAAGGGTGGCCAAATGGTGTCCAGGAAAGAAGATTTTGCTTCTAAAGCAGAGCCAAAAGGATAAAAATACCAGCAGTGAACTGAGGTGAAGTGTCTCTGCTTTAACTGCAGCCTGTGGGGTGATGTCCCTGCCCTAGCAGATACTGGGAGGAAGGTGGTGGTATTGGCTGTGCCTCCATGGGCAGACAGGGCAGGAATGGGCTGGATTGTCCCCAGACTCCAGAGGGGATCACCTACACAGTCTACTCACAGTGACCCAGGCTCTCTCCCCAGTCAGAGGGGCCCACCTGCCCAGAGCTGCACAGCAAATGCAATCAGAAACAAGCAAGCAGATTCCCATGAAAATGGATGGAGAAAGACAGGCAGCTCTGTAATTCACCCATCAATTCAGCTCAATTAAATTACCTTCTGAGGAGGCTATTAAAGGTTTTTTTAATAGATGTGCTATGGAAGATGGAGTGACAGGAGCCTGGAAAATAGCTTCTAATGTCACGTCTACCTCCCTCCCATGTCACTTGATACGTGTTTAGCACACAGCTGAATTTAACAGGGTTCTACCCTGCAAAGCTGCTCCCATGGGAGCTCATCCCTCCCACAGGGAGGACCCACGGTGCTACCAGCACCTGTGCGGAGGGATTGCCAGCCTAAAGCTGCTCCAAGAAAGCTGAAAGGCAAACAAGGACAAGTCTCATGGAAGCAGAGATTCCTCTTGGATCCATTCAGGGCACCTCCCTGGCTCCAGCCAGTCCTGCTGCTGGGACTGATTTATGGTGCTGCACATCACAGCATAGGCAATGGAGAGGAGACCAAGTTTCATCTTTTCCCTTCCTCTGGCCAACCCCAGAATCTCTGCTGCAAGCCTACGGAGACCTCCAGCTCCCTGCATCCCAGCCTGTGCCAGCTGCTCTCCGTGCCAGTGACATTTAGCTAATCAATAGGATTTAATTACACGTTGGGCTAATCGGGCTGCCGATTAACGGCACGCTGGAGGCACGCAGCAATCGCAGGAGATGGATTCATTCCATCATTCACCCCACAACGAGCTGCCTGCCCGCTGAGCAGGATCCCCCCTGCCCCAAAACCGGCCTGGATACCTCACAGGCCAAGGCATCCCATTCTGAAATGGGGCAAACTGCACTGCCACCCCCCTCGACAGCCCAGAGGAGACACACAGCTTCAGGAATTTCCCTGCAGTGATAAATATTTATGACTCAATCCATAAGTAATGCTCAGAGCATTACTGCTGAGACCTCCAGCACTCGCTGCTGTTGGAAGGGAGGGAGCTTCCAAATGCTCGGCAGGGTGGAAACTCCCGGGTGTTTTCTGGCCAGTGGCACAGGGAGAGCAGCCCAAGGATGCTCCCACGGGCAGCAGCTGTCTGGCATGGCGTGCCTGGGGCCAGGAGCTCCTTCACCACTGCCATTCAGCCCCTTGAGGCTTGCCCTGGGCATCTGCCTCCCGAAAGCAGGAGATCAGTGAAGCTACAGGGTAGCACAGCCCATCGTGTCTGTGCTGCCACACACCCTTACAGATCCCACAGGTCCTATGATTCTGTGATCTCCCTCTAGCAGGTTATCCTCTTGCTGCATGGAGCACATCAGGCTTTGTAGGACTGAGCAGCCTGGGTGCCTGCAAATTCACTGAACCCATTTCCACCCCGTTTTCTAGGAAGGGGGATGCCCAGAGCATCCCAGCTCTTTCCCACACTTGACAGTACAGATCAGCACAACCCCAGGGGAGTACACAGGGTCTGTGCAGGGCAGCAGGCGAGTGGGGAAAGCCCTCCTGCCAGCTGGGCACACAACTGTTCCCACAGTCCAGGAGTGAGCTCCCATAATGCCCTGATTTATTCTCCTATTGATCTGAGCTGTAAGGTGTCTGAGTTCAGCCGTGCCTGAAGTGTGACCGGCAGGGCTACTGCCAGCACTGAGAGCCATTAGTGTGAGGTGGCCACACTGCCTGCTCCTGCCTGATCCCACCTGATCCTACCTGCTCCTGCCTGATCCCACCTGATCCTGCCAGCACAGGGTCCAGAGAGTGGCACAGGGGCTGTCTGGAAACTCCCAGCATCTCACAGATTCTGCTGTGAACCTACACCAAGAAACACCTCAGATGTCTCCCAGGCACAGCACCAGGGTAAATTCTGACACGGAGCGACTATCCCAGCCTCCTGCACAGTACAGCAGCTGATGGTTGCAGAGCAGGAAACTGGTGGTGGAGCACAACAGGTTGGATTGAACGTGCTGCCGGTGCCTCCAAGAGCCTGCTCCCCAGGAGCCAATAACAGGACTCATGAGGGACATCAGCAGATAGAAAAGTGCTGGAGATTAAAAATAAATGGAGAGAAGCAAAAAGATCTAAAGGGAGAGAGAGGGGTTGTTTGGGGTTATCAGACAGAGAGGAAAACACGTCTCACATGGCTGAAATAGTGCAGGTTTTAAGGGCTGCTGGCAGCAGCTGAGGCTCCAGGAGCTGCAGGAGTTGGATGTATCCTGAGGGCACCTTCTCCAGAGAGCTGAGACAGGTACCCAGGACACCCAGCCCAGGTGCAAGGGCAATGCACGTCCCAGCACTGCTGGGGCCCGTGTGTGTGGCCCTGGCACTCCCCCATCACCTCCTCTACAGCACTACTTGTAACATCTACACAGCCGGCGCCGGCGCCCACCGATGGCAGCCGGGGCCTGGCCCTTACCTTTCTGTAGTCAAGTTTTGGCAGCTTTCCCCAGGCGAGAGATGAAATGAGAGCGAGCAGATGGCAGTGTAAATAAAAGAGAAAAATGGGAGAATGAGAGCAGAATGGAAATGAACAGGACTCGAGTTGCTTGAATGTCAGGGTGGCGAGGAGGGCTCTGCCCACCCCGTGGCCAGGGAGGTGCAGGGGGTACCCCCAGTCCGGTGGGATGGAATCAGCCACCACCATTCCTGACAGAGCCAGGTGGGCACGGCAGGGCTCTCCTTTGCCAGCCCTGCCTTTGCTCTCGCCGATGTGAAATCTATCACTTGCCGCTCACAGGTCTCCTTCCTCCCACTCCAAACCCAACTAGAAATCTCCTCCTTGGCACAGCTCCCGAGTGCACCAAGGGAAGCCTGACCCAGAGGCTGCTGGAGAATTCACGGGCAACGGGGAGGGAAACAAACCCCACTGTCTGCCCCAGCCCTGCCCCGGCAGCCCTGCCCAGGAGCTGTGGGTGCTGCGCTTGCCCCCAGCCAGGAGCAGCTCAAGGGCTGCTGGGGCAGATGTTTGGGTGCTCATCCCCAAGGCCAAGCTTTGATGCTAGAGTGTTCCAGGCAGGGAGAACCCTGGGTGGGGATGCTGTGTCTCAGCACCCAGGACCAGCACCCAGCGCAGTGGGCACTGGGGTGGGGGCTGAAAACATGCATCCTATGAAGGCAAACAGCATGGTCTGATCCTCTGGGGCTCAGCTCACAGCCTGTTCTCCTGCCTGCCGTAAAAACCCTCCACCCCTTCCCAAGATCTGCAGGGATTTAGGTCTTCTCCTCCCAACCTACCACTCTCGTGGTGACCTGGTACCCTCACTGCTCTGGTCCTCGTGCGGGGTGAAGCAGAGAGGAACCCAGCAGCACGCACGGGCCCGGAGGCAGAATCAGGACCTCAGTTATCTGTTTCTGCTCCAAAATGTGCAAAAAGCCCCTAATTGCTTCAATCACGCAGACGGCAAAGGCGCTGAGGCGCAGCACTTTGTGGCCGTGATTAGCAGCATTTAAAAGAGCCATTTATAAACTGACAGCCGGTCACAGCCGTCAAGTAAATAACAACATCGGGACGGGCTGCTCTAAAAAGCATCAATAGCTGCAACAACCTCGTCAAAGGGGACGAGCAGCCGTCTCTGTACTGCTGGAAACGCCCTGAAAGGCAGGGGTGGAGGGGAAGGAGAGGGCAGAGGCACTGGGTGTTGGGATGGAAGTGGAGCTGGCAAAGGAACGGCTGCTTCAGAGACACCAGAGCCACTGATGCAGCACAGGGATGAGGGGACACCCGGTGTCCCCACACTGCCACATTTGCGTCTTTAGGCACGTTTGGTGCAGCTGCAGCACCTGGGTAACCCCATAAGGCAGGACAGAGTTTGCCACCTCCAGGCACAGTCAGCCCTCGCTGTTCCCACGCCCTGAGCCATACCTTGGCTTTATTGATGGTGCAGTGGAGAGCGTTGTTCTCTTGGTCGTAGAGCAAGCTGAAATCCAGCGTCCCGAGCGTGGCTGCAAAAAGAGAAGATCCTGTTAGCCTGTAGGGACCAGCACACGCTGCCTTTCCCCCCTCAGAGCACAAAAGGAGTGGATGAAGATGCTACAGAAATGGCTGCAACCATTATAAAACATAAAGCATCCTCCTGTGAGCCCTGTTACGAAACAAGGCCTCGTGCTGGGAAGCTGGTGGTCGTCCCCACCTTGGCTGGTGAGGCTGGCACAGTCCTGGGAGAGGAGTGAGCGGGATCAATGGATGCAGCTTGCCCAGCTTTGCCTCTGTGGGCTTTCACGTGGGTCACCTCCATCCCACAGCAGCCCCACTGCAACCAGCAGCTGGGGCTGAAGGCTCTTTTCTGGGAAGATCCAGGCATGGCTGGGACACAGAACAGACCCACTGTTGGCACATCCCCCCTGCTCCAGCGCCGCTGGCATTCCCAGAACATGTATTTGTACACTGACACCTTCAAACAAATGAGCCACCAATGGGATCCCTTCCCAGCTCCAATCTGGCTGCAAACTGTAAATTAAACCCGGAGAGGATGGAAATACTTCTATGGTTAAAATGAAAAACACCAACAGCTTTTAATCAGAGCAGTGTTCCGTTACAGCATCCACAACCCAGGAACGGCAGCACGGGGGCGTCTCCTGGGATGGGACACAGGGACGGGGCAGCAGACCGGAACAAAACCAGAGGGGCCTCAGCAGCAGAAGTACATTTGATTTAAGAAATTCTTTCCCTTTGGATGATCTGAGCAAGTCGTGCTAATCCAAAGGAGAGAAAAAGCCTTAAAAAGACAAGCTTTCCAAAAACACGGCCGAACCTTCTCCGAGGCTCCCAGACCTGATTTGCACACCAAAGCCTGGACATGGAGCAGCGTCTTCGCTGGCTCAGCTTCACCTGCCTCCAGCCTCGAACTTCCAGGGTGGCTCTGGACCCAGCAACCCCCCAATTTTCCATGCCCACCTTTCCAAAAGGGGGCTGCCTGAGTGCTGCCCTGCCACCAAACAGCATCCCACCACTGTTTCCAAGGTAACTGCACCTTCCCGCCGCATTCAGAGCATGAAAAAAGAAATCCAAAATAAAAACCAGAACATTTTGGTCAATATCAAAGCAGGGTTTGGTGCCTGGGGGGAAAGTTGGACAAACTTTATGGTAGGAAATAAGGTCCATTTTTTTTTCCCCCAGCACTGATAGCAGCAAGGCACCCACCGAGGAGGTGGATATTCAGGGGACCAAAACGTTCTTGCTGCAATTTCACAGTGATCTCCCAGCCCAAAGGCAAATGAGCTACAGGTTTGCCTGCTAGCAAAAGAAAAATCCTTGCTCCGGAGCAAATATCCTGAGTTCAAAACAGAATAAATATCCAAAGAGATTTTCAGCCAGAAGAATGTACCCTCCTCGCTCTGGAGCAATTTCATGCCACATTAGCTGATGGTCTGGGCAAGTCACAAATCAGTGGGGCTTTACCTGCCAGGGGAAGATGGAAGCGATACAGGGTGAGGCCAAACCTCCTGCAAACTGTGAGTCATCTCTGGGTTCGGCCCAAACGGGCATTTCCAGAGCAATTCCCACCCAAAGCCGCTCCTCATCCCACAGGGAGGAAGGCGCAGCAGTCCCCGGTTGCCCCTGCCCGCGCTCGGCTGTGGGGAACTCGCGGACGGCAGTGGGTGAAGTGTGAGGCTCCACAGCACAAGGGTGAAAGCCAAGTCAGCAAAACTTCACAAAATCTGCATTTTTCACTCAAGAGCGGAAGATGAAGCCTCCGGTTTCGGAGCCTCATCATTTCCACCTGCCCTTTAATCAGCGCTTCCTGCCAGCCCCACCGCTCGGCCCTCCCGGGTTCAAGCTGTTATTTTATTTTTATCACAGGAGGGGGCCCGCGGCTCGGCCTGCCGGATTTGGCAGTTTATAAAACAAATTAAAAGCCTGGCATGAAAACAGACTTTGGCCAGGAAATACTGACAAAGCCCCAGCCTGCCCCAGGGGCGAGGGCAGTGGGGGGCCCCACTCCTGCAAGACGGGCAAGGCCTAAAATTGCCGTAACGAGCAGCAGGCGCTTGTTTTGCACGTGGGGACTCAGCTCCTGCTCCCAGTGCTGGCAGTCTGCGAGTGAACCTTGAGCAGTTCCCATTCCTCTTGGATCTGCCAGGAGCTGGGAGGGCATGGATAGGGGTGCACAGTTCCCCCAGCCCTGTCAGGCTCCAGCCCCAGCTCTCCTCCAGTTCTGAAGGGGTTTTCCTCTACATAGGGCTTTTTTTTGTTGTTGATGGTGATCTCAATAACCAAGGAAAGATCTGCCTTTAGCAGAGGGACATGGAAACATCAGCAGAACACGTGCTAATTGCTTACAAACGTCGCCGTATGGAGATGACCAAAGGGGTCAGGCAAACTTGGAGTTTGGCAGACAAGGTGCTGCTGTGGAGCCAAGGATGAGTGCTGCCACCAGAACCAGTACCCAGAGGATGCCCAGGACACACTGGACACATCGAGGACACGATCACAGCCCTGCAACCTCCGTTACCTCCTGGGGATGCACATCCAGGTGATGGATCCAGCACAGCAGTGAAGGCAGAGACAAAGGCTGTTGCTCGAGCTGCTCAGGGGCTGAGGAGGTGGCAGGAGACCTCCAGCTGCACCAGGGGTGGGAGCCACCCCTGCACCCCACAGCAGCTCCATGTAAACCCCCATGGAACCACAACCCTGCCCTCCTGGAGCAGGCAGCACACGGGGCCAGCAGCCAGGCAAGCAAACACCACCACACCAGCACGAGTCTCACCTATCCTGCAAACCTCTGGCAGCACATCCAGTCCTGGCTGTGGAACTCCTGCCTCCCCAGCTGGCAGGATTGGGCCCAAAGCCTTTGCAGCTGAATCCCCCTCCTTTGATTGGTCCCCCCCCCCACATGAGATGCAACTCGATTGTGCTCTTAATTAAGGGAGTAAGTACCTAAAAAAGAAAAGGGCGGCAATTAAACTCAAAGCACTGTTACCAGGATTATTCTGAACACTGCCCTCTAATCACACAGGCTGCAAATAAAAAATATAAATAAATGCCTTTGTCAGGCACTACAAAGGCAGCTTGGTGCTCTCCAGACAGCAGGCAGGATGTATCATTATTATTACAATTATTCTGCTCCAATGATAAAATAACCATTAGGAACGCTGAACTCATTAGGAGGTTCTGACCCTCTTTCCTCTCCATGAATTGGGAGAGATTGATGGGAAGGCGCTGGCCAGGGCCTGGCATTTAACACAGGCTCTAAAAAGAAAAATAAATCTGACTTGCGCAGGAACGCGGCCTCCTCTCCCACTGACCTTTGGGGCGTTTTGATTAATTCAGAGAGCCACAAAATTATCAGAGGGCAGCAGAACCAGCAGATGTGTCCGCGGGCTCAGCCGGGGGATGCGGAGAGCGCGGTGTCCCGGCACGGCAGCAGCCCCGCCACCACCCTGGCCGGTGGAGCCGGCAGAAATTGTTTATTGCTGACATTTCCCATCAGCGCCCAGGGTGGCGGCGAGGCTGGAGGAGCTTCTATTTATACCTGTGGGATGAAAGGCAAAAGGTGGCGATAAATCCCTGCTCCGCTCCCTTCCCCAGCCCCTGCCTTGGCAGGTGCCCCGCCCTCGCCTGCTCCACCCTGGGATCCGCCCTCTCTGCAGCCTGGGATGCTCCAAGGAGAAGAGTTTCTCAGCCCAAGAGATGCTCGAGACATGGAAGAGGCCCTGAGACTTGCAGAGCAGACCTGTGAGCTTCAGCAAAGCCCGTGGAGGTGGGAAGTGATGACGGAGCGTGCTCCTCGCCTTCCCAAGTCAGGGAGGCTTTCACAGCATGACTGCCACGAGAAAGCCCAGCAAAGCTCTACACTAAGAGAAATTGAGGTGTGCACACAGAAAACCCACTATAGAACTAATTAAAAAGAAGTCCAAAAGCCTTAAGTCCCTCTGCTTATCAGCATTGCTGCTTCCAAGATAATCTGCTCATGGATTTTGTGCCAGGGAGATCAGAGTGGAGCAGTAAAAAGACTGCTGGGGATTGTCTGGATTAGCTCTCCCTTACAGAAAGCACAGGTTCAGTAACCTTCAGACTGGGTATTTTTTAATGCACTATAAAAGATAGGTCCCTATTCTTCCATTGCTTTAATTTTCCCCTGCAATAGAGATAATTTTAAAGGTCCTGAAAGGCAGTAAGTAGTTCTGTGCACTTACAGCCCCATGTAAAATGTTGGTAAATGACTCCTCAGGAGGAACAGAAATTACCTCCTGCCATTTCCAAGCAGGGCTGCTGAACAGCATTTTGGTGGGAGGCTGTGTGTGCTCCTGCCTCCTTGAGGATGACAGTGCCTTGACCTGCTCCAGCAGCTCATGATGGGGCAATGCAGGCAGTGAGTGCTGGGACAGCTTAAGGACCGACTCCCCGAGCCCCTAAAACTCTCCAGAGTTATCCCTGGAAAACAGCACCATCAGTTCCTGCAGCCTCCTGAAGCTGAGGCCCAGCTCATCCAGCATCCACAGCACTCCTGGCCCATGCACAGACCTGCTTGTGACTCATGTGCCTTCATGGATTCAGGGATGGATCCCACAAGGTGCTCAGCTGCAAGGAGGAGCTGCAGGACCTGATGGCTGCAAACCCCCAGGTCTGATGGCAGCACTGATCTCTGGCATGAACCTCCAGCCACGGGATTCAGCACCAGCCAGGGAAGGCGGTGAAGGCAGGTGGAAATGGGACACTTCTGAAAGTTCTGCCATGAGCTATTCCGTGAAAATGCGTCCTGTGGCAGGTTTCGGGACATGCCCCGGGGGCAGCACAGCATGTTGGGACTCAGACATTCCTGTGAGTCCTGGACCACGTGGTGCCAATGGGCTGCATCACAAGACTGTGATCTGCTGCTGCAGACAACGTAGGACATCCTCACTCCTACAGAAAAAACCCAGCAGGGACCAGATCCAGCACACAGGCAGGAGACTTTCCCTCCTCAGGAGATCCTACAGATGTGCCTGAATTCAACGGGATC